TCCTCCTCCTCCTCCTCCTCCTCCTCCTCCTCCTCCTCCTCCTCCTCTTCCTCCTCCTCCTCCTCCTCCTTCTTCTTCTTTTAGGAGCACCTTAACTTTTTAAAAATAATTTTTATTAATTACACTTTATTCACTTTGTATCCCCCCCATAAGCCCCTCTCTCTTCCCCTCCCAATCCCACCTTCCCTCTCCCTTCTCCACACATGCTCTTCCCCAAGTCCACTGATAGGGGAGGTCCTCCTCTCCTTCCTTCTGATCCTAGTCCAACAGGTCTCATCAGGAATGGCTGCATTGTCTTCCTCTGTGGCCTGGTAAGGCTGCTCCCCCCTCAGGGGGAAGTGATCAAAGAGCAGGCCAATCAGTTCATGCCAGAGGCAGTCCTGTTCCCATTACTATGGAACCCACTTGGACACTGAAATGCCATGGGCTACATCTGAGCAGAGGTTCTAGGTTATCTCCCTGCATGGTACTTGGTTGGAGTATGAGTCTCAGGAAAGACTCCTGTGCTCAAATTTTTTGATTCTGTTGCTCTCTTTGTGGAGCTCCTGTCCTCTCCAGATCTTACTATTTCCCACTTCTTTCATAAGATTCCACGCACTCTGCCCAACAGTTGGCCATAAGTCTCACCATCTACTTTGATAGTCTGCATGCTGGGAAACTCCTAACTTGTTTCCTGTTTTCTTCTTCTTCTGATATCCATCCTCTTTGCCTTTTGGGATGGGGATTGAGCATTTTAGCCAGAGTCCTCCCTCCTGATTAGTTTCTTTAGGTGTACAGGTTTTAGTAGGTTTATCCTATATTATATGTCTATATGAGTGAGTATATATCGTGTGTGTTTTTCTGCTTCTGGGATAGCTCACTCAGGATGATCCTTTCCAGTTCCCACCATTTACCTGCAAATGTCATGATTTCCTTGTTTTTCATTGTTGAGTAATATTCCCTTGTGTAGATGTACCACAATTTCTGTATCCATTCTTCAGTTGAGGGGCATCTGGGTTGGGGAACAGAGCTAAACAGAGAATTCTCAATAGAGGAATATCAAATCTAATAGCCAGACGCTGGAAACAACCCGGATGAATCTTCTTCTTTAACTTCTTGAAATTTTATTATTCAGAGAATAAGTATTCCCTAAACACTTACTTTGGAAAATTTCCGAATCATGAAAACAAGACAACCTCTGCTGCTTCTGTCTGCAGGAAACTGGCAAATACAAACAGTGCGCCAATGCCACCCGTCGGGAAATGTGCAACTGCACTGAGCACCAAAAGTTTTCACATGCTGTCGCTTTCTCGGACTGCAAAGAAAAGGTAAGACAATTCATATTTACCTGATGATGCAATGATTTCCCATTCCTGTGATTGCAAATGTGCCTTTAGTCAAATATGAAAACTCAGACGTGGAGGCTGAAGGCATGGCTGAGTGCATCAAGGCATTTGTTGCTTTTGCTGAAGAGCCAGGTTCAATTCCCAGAAGCCACATGCAGCTCACAACCTTCTGGAACCCCAGTTCTAGAGGCTCTGATGCCCTCTTCTGGCTTCCACTGGCACTGTATTGACATGCCTTGGAGATAAACATGCAGGCAAAAGGCCATATACATAAAAACATCTTAAAAATAATCTCACATGTGGAAATAATGTCTGTTGTGACTTGGAACCAAATATGACACAGTTAAAAGTATCTGTCTTCTGCACTTAGAGGAATTAACTAAACTTATCTCTGAAGTAAAATAAACATGCTTACTCTGCCCTCTCCATTTCACGGGTAGAAGTATCCACATGTATCATACACACAATTAACAATCCTACTCCCAATGAATTAATGTAATGTAATGTAATTTTCAGGCTACCATGTGCCCCAGATACTGCTCCTGGAGACATACCCAAAGGACCTTGTCACTATGCCACAGAGATGCATGCACACACGTTTATTACTGCAGTGCTCACAATGACTAAGAAAGGAAACCATCCAAAATGTCCATCAGCACATGGAGAGACAGTATGTTGTGCAATGTGTTTTGTGACATGAAAAACATCAGATCACATTTACAGGAAGATAGTTGGTGCTGGAGATCATTGTGTTAAGTGAAACAAGTCAGGCCTAGAAGAAAAGTCCTGTGTTATTCCTCATGTGAAGACTCTACACTTAAGTGTGAATTGGGGGAGTAGAAAGAAGAAAAGAGACCAAGCAAGCAGAGGAAGAGATCTTAAACGGGGTTAGATAGAGAAGAGAATTTATGTGACATAAAAACAGAAGGGGGGTGTGGCTGGGGAGAAGAAGGAGACCTGCAAAGAAGTGCAAAATAAAAACCCAGAGTACAACATTTTTGGAAGAAAATTCCTGATAATTATATATGATATATATTGTATACGTGTGTGTGTGTGTGTGTGTGTGTGTGTAAATACATCTGTAAGAAAACTCCATTATAACACCTATCACTTTGTATACGAACTTCAGAAGTTATGCATCTCATTACTGTGTTTTCTGCTTGGAATTTGCATGGGATTTGTTGTATAGACTCTTTTTGTGTCTGAAAGGCAGAGGTTTTAGGAAGCACTCCACTCAGAACAGCCAAGGTTCTGTCAAAATCTCATTCATTTCTTGATCAAGAATGACACTATTGAATTTCCAGACTTATATTCATTCATGGAATTTGTATTTTAGGTTCATCGTTACAAGTTTCCAGTCACACAATACCCGGTTGTTTTGGAGATTTTCAATGAAGGAGAAAAATTCTCCGTGGAACCCCCATATTTGGTTACCGTGACTGAAGTCAATATGAGAAAAAACTGGGAAATAAGTATGGTTTTCTGTCTTCTATGCTTATCTTACAAGCCATTTTATTATTACTGTTTTGTTTTGTTTTGTTTTTAAATGAGTGGATCGCAAAGCCTGTTCACAGGAGAAATAGCCAGGAGTTTTTGGGAAAAGGAGTTGAATCATTGGCATTTTCACCTTTGTCATCTCCTTTTATGTTCCTTCCGGTAACCTGAGTTCATTGGTATAAGGCCAGTTTGGTTTTGTTTTTAATTTGAACTGTAGAACTGAGGAATTCACTCGGTAGTTAAGAGCATACTGCTCACGCAGAGGGCCCACGTCAAGCAGCTCACACAGTGTCTGCAACTCCAGCTGCAAAGTGTCCTGTGCCTGTGCGTGTGGGGTGCTACACATACCTACATGCAAACACAACTAAAAACAAACCTTTAGCAAATAAGTGAAGCACAAAGATGAGCCTAAAAGTCATGTTGGAGATGAGTAGCAACAATGATGGAGTTTTTGCTGTGTGCCAGTTGTGTGTCTTCATTATTCACCATGTCAGCAGTTACCTAAATGTTCTCTGTGCTTCCAACATTCTGTAGGATATGCTTCTAATTATGCAAGTAGAGTTTTGTGAAGATTTTTTTAGCTGAATGTGGTAGGACACGGTTGTAATTCCAGAACTTGGTAGGTAGAAGCAGGAGGATCAAAGTTAAAGGCCAGTTACAGTTTTAGAGTGAGATAGGACCAGCCTGGGCTACATCAGAATTTGTCCCAAAAGAAGAAAGGAAAGAAAGAACAGGAATTTTATAGCAAAAGAAGCTGAAAAGAGACAGCCATATTTTACAATACCAAAGGAAACTAACTTAAATTCTGTTTTATCTCAAAGATATAACTTTCAGTTGCCTTTTTTGTGTTTATTTATGCATTGATATTTTCAGGTAATAAACGATAGACCAGTAGATACATACTTACATACATATATGCATACATACACATACCATACCTACACACACACATATACAAATACACATTCATACATACACATATAGATAAACAAGGGCTGGGTTCTAGCTCAGTGGTAGAATGCTATTCTATCTCCAGTGTTTCCCTACAAAAAAAGGCATGAAGATGGCAGCTGGGTCCGGTGAAGAGGGTAGATGAACTGACTCATCTTACGAAAATCATTTGCCCACCACTATGAAAAATACAAAATGTTGTTTTAAAAAATGAAAATCCCAACCTTTCTATTTTACCAATAAAGACTCAGGAGCCAGATGCTGGGGTGAAAACCTGCTAACTCAGAGAGACAGAGAAAGCACCCATCTGACTTTCCTTCTCAGCTCAGGTCTAGATGGAAAAAGACTGAAAGGCTCACTAGCTCAGCTGACAGCCCAGGAGAAAGAGGCCAAGAGACCAAAGGCCAAAAGCTTGCTACCTCAAAGCCCTAAAAGCCATAAAAGCCAGAGAGCTAGCACTCAAGCACTAGGGAGCTAAAAGCTAGAGCCAAAGAGCTCAATAACTAAAGAGCTAAAGCTCCTTGTATTGCAGTCTTAAATGCTCTCAACTCAAAGTCCCTCCTATACTTTAATCCCTGATAGCTGGTTGCCTCTTGACCTAGGGTTAACTTTATTAAATACTGTGTACAGAAAGCTCTTGGATTAAAGGTGTGTACTAGGGATGACTGAACCACACCATAATCACCTGTTTACAAAAAACAGAGCATTCTTGGATTAAATAAAGGTGTATGGTAGGGCTCAACCATACCAAAACAAGAAACAGGGTTTTACAGTTCATAATTGGGGGCTTCACAATGGGATCAAATATCCTGCAACAGCAAAATATTCATGTCAGGATTGGTTTCTTATGAGTAAGAGGCTAGAAAGAACTCAAGCTGATGCAAGGCTTTCAAAAACCCTCTTCTTGAGGAGGGTATTGAAGCAATGTGAGCAGTTAATCAAATACACACACACACACACACACACACACACACACACACACACACCGCAAGAAAAGTGAGGACATAGTTTGGTGGTGGAGTGCTTGTCTGCTGTGAACAAGGTACTGGGGTTCAATCCCCAGAACCAGAACTCCTTTACATTTTATGAATATGGGTATTTTACCTGCATGTCTGTGCATTGCTTGCGTACCAGGCACCCTCAGAGTTCAAAGGAGACAATCAGATCCCCTAGAACTGGAGCTCGGAATGATGGTTGTAAGCTGCCACATGGCTCCTGGGAATCAAACCCTGAACAAGAGCAACCAGTGCTCTTAACTACTCAACCTTCTCATCACACCTAAGTACCAGACACTTTTTGAAAATAAAAATAAACAATTATTCTGTGAGGCCATCCCCACACTTGGGTCTGTCTTATCTTCTGCAGCTTTTTGAGATGCCTATACCCATAATCTGGGTATATTTTTTTTCTAGGTATCGCCTTTTCTCTCTTAGATCTTCTGCTTAAGTGTATATTATAACATTTTTAATAAAACTTAACTCTTGGGTTTGATACTTATAAATCAAACCAAACAAAGAGCATGAGTTACCTTAGTCACCTTACACAACAGAATCTTTCATTGTACCTTGCTGTATGTAACAACTTCTAGGCAAAATGTGAAAACGTGAGCTTAAAATGTATTTTGTGTGTTTCAGAGCACATTGTGCCAGAGAACCTTAAGAAATTGAAGGCTTACTTAGAGTCAAGGCTTAAAACTCCAGTGTATAATCCTTTAGGTCTCAACCTCAGTATAAGGGTGAGTTGACAGCATTTTCATTTTTACCAGGTAGAGATTAAAGTAAAGCATGTGTGCTAAAGTAAGATTGATAAATGGCAGGAAGAGCAGCTTTAAAGTATACAGAAAAAAGTTTCTTTTTCTTTATTTCCCTGATGTCTTATTTTGAAAGGAATCTGATTGTTGAATGGAACATTAATTTACTATTTTCTAGGAGCAATTGGCTAAAGGGAAGGAGGAAATTTGTTTCTAAAAGATAGGGATCATAAAGGATACATAAAGCCCTGGTAAGTGTGAAAACCAGTGGAAATGCAGAGATATGTTAAACTCACAGGGATGAGGGCTAACTTAGTGTTCAGGAAAGCCAGAGTGTTTCATTCTGAAAGTAAAACTATGACAATGAATTCCTGTTTCAATAACTTTTAATTTTATATGCGATGTACACACCCAAGAGCTTTGGCACTCCTCATAGATGATATCTGAGGAAGTGGCTCCCATGGGTATCTTTATTTAAAGAACACACACACACACACACACACACACACACACACACACACACACACTGATAATGACCATCTGTGTTTGTTCCACAGGGCTCTGAGCTGTTTCACTTCAGGGTGTCTGTGGTTCCTGGAGTCAGCTTTTGTGACTTAGCTGAAGAATTTCAGGTACAATAAACGCACAAACTATGAAATGGGATGATGAATGAGAAAATGAAACATTGTCAATCCAAGTTATGGATAAAGATAAAAACACGGGCAGAATTTGTGTGCTGGAGAAGGCTTGGACGGGGCGTGGCAGAGAGTGAGAGAGTGGGTGGAAGAAGATGCTGAGTGTCCACAGAACTCCGGGTGGAATTTTGCTGTGTGGTTCGTTGTGGGGATCATACAATGTCCAGTGTTTTATATAAGCACTTTGCTTTTTCTTTTCAGATTTATGTCGATGAAGTACCATTGCCTTTTCCAGGACATACACTGATTGCTGTTGGAACATCCGTAGTGATAGGGGGATTGATTTTCACATCATTTTTATTCCAACTGCGTAACATCCACCCATTGAGAGCATTCTGGAGACACAGCAGAGGACATTTTGCAATGTCATCATTTTCAAGCATTGGCTCATAAGCAAAAGTCTGGACATACTGATCAAACGATAATCATCAATTATCTCTAATTCCTGATTCCATCAAACGCATCCACACAGTATAGTTACATTTTTAAAATACTCATTTGGTACAAAGCTATAAAATATTGTAATTCTAGTTGCTGTTGGGCAATAGTTCCACATTCCATTTTTTTTTTATTTTTAATACATAGAAATTTATTTAAGCACTTACGAGTATTTTTTAGATGGTTTTGGAAAATATAAAATGATAACCTATTCTGTGTGGAATGGATTTCTGCATTATTTAGCTCTTAGAGTCCATTTTCTAGTGCCAGATCCTGGATAAAATGGCAGTACAATGAGGGCATCATTACACCATGGGAGTCAGGCAAGAAGAGGCTCATCAGTGGATATATTTTCACAGTTTTGAGGGAAATGAAAAAAAATTGTCATTTAGCTTTCTTAAAAAAGGCCAAACCAGTTTCTGGTACCTAATAAGAGGGGAAGGTGTCTCCACCATGGACTACTGTAAGAATATAGTGATGGGCCAGGTGTTGGTTTCAAACATGCAGCATACAGACTCCAAAAGATATGTCTTTATGTGCTTTTGGTGAACTTGCCCTCCAAATCCAGAAAGTGAAGGCTCCACCTTCACAGGTGTCAGAGCTGGCATGCATGGAGGTTACTAAGTGAGTGAGGGCATGTGGGCATGGAAAAGGAACAGAGCAGATGACTCAAAAGGGCTAGCCTACCAGTGACTGTAAACTTTAAGATTAGGGACGATTTCTTGTTTCATAACTCTTTCCAACCAAGATAAGATTATCCTGAATGAAAATATTCCTCAGAGATCCAAGATTCATGGGCCCTTAATAGGCAGAAAATCTTCAGGCAATCTTGGGGCTGGAGTGATGGCTCAGTGCCTGAGAGCACTTTTGCTCTTGCAGACAATTTGGTTTGAATGTCAGCACATACAATAGCTCACAACCATCTGATTCTTCCCACAGTACTTTTCTTAGCTATTTTTTTTTCTCATAATTGTGACTGAATACCTGACATAAACTGCCGGGGGCCAAGGCTATTTACTGAAGACAAAGTCAAATAGTGAGCCAAAGCTATTTAGTGGAGACAAAGCTACTTACTGAAGCCAAAGCCAAGTAGTGAGCAAAGGTCATTTAGGGGAGACCTAAAGCTATTTAGTTGAAGAGTTACCTAGGACCCAAAATCATGGGTGATAGATTGTGAGAACATCTGTCTGTTAGTTTTAGAGCATCCGTGAGATAGCTTAAGAAAACATCCTTACGGTATCTTGCAGGTGCAATATTTAATCCATGAAAGTACTCTTCCTATCTCCTGCAGCAGTAAATTATCCTTCCCCCTTTCCTGCCTTCTCCCTATATAAGTTGGGTAAAAATTTTTAATAAACGAGGCTTTGATCAGATGAACAGACTTGGCCTTCACTCCTGCGTTTCTCATCCCTTCTCCCCCATTCCTTCCAATCTCCTCCTTAGGAACCCCCTTGAAGTCCCGTGCGTTGGGACAATAAACAAATAAAGGGAAGAAAAACTTCCTGAGGTTCACAGTTCCCTAGAGTAGTCTGGCATGATACGGGAAACACAAGTGGTGAAATTAGGTCCTGTCAATGTGGTTAGCGAATAAAGCAGCTGGTCACATCAGCAGACGGACATATAGCAGAACGTTAATCAGGAGCATGCCTACCTATGACTTAATACTGTGTCTACTGTCTGTGCCCTGTATCCAAATTTTTTTCACAAGCTCCGGAAGGTTTCCACAAGTTGGTGGATTCTGTAACAGCCTGAACTGCACAGTAAGACATTGTTTCAAAACAAACAAAACAAACAAACAAAAGTTTTGGTTTTTAATTAATTTATTTTTTATTAATTACAATTTATTCACTTTGTAGCCAAGCTGTAGCCCCCTCCCTCATCCTCTTCCAATCCCACCTTCCCTCCCTCTTCTTGTCCCATGCCCCTCCCTCAGTCCACTGATAGGGGAGGTCCTCCTCCCCTTGCATCTGACCCTAGCCTATCAGGTCTCATTAGAACTGGCTGCAATGTCTTCCTCTGTGTCCTGGTAAGGCTGCTCCCCCTTTGGAGGGAGATGGTCAAAGAGCCAGCCAATTAGTTCATGTCAGAGACAGTCCCTGTTCTCCTTACTAGGGAACCCACTTGGATACTGAGCTGCCATGGGCTACATCTGAGCAGGGGTTCTAGGTTATCTCCATGCATGGCCCTTGGCTGGAGTATCTCAGAGAAGACCCCTGAGCAGCTGTTGCTCTCCTTGTGGAGCTCCTGTCCCCTCCAGGTCTTTCTATTTCCCCCTTCTTTCATAAGATTCCCTGCACTCTGCCCAAAGTTTGACTATGATTTTCTGCATTTGCTTCGATACCCTGCTAGGTCTTTCAGAGGCCCTCTCTGGTAGGCTCCTGTCCAATTCCCTGTCCAATTCTCCCTCTTCTGATGTCCATCCCATTTGCCTTTCTGAATGAGGACTGATCATCTTACCCAGGGTCCTCCTTCTTGCTTAGCTTCTTTAGGTGTGCACATGGATATTAGACATATCATATAGGATAAACATACTAAAATCTGTTTTGTTGTTTTTAAACCTTTCTCTTAACCAGTTTTCCTTAACTCATCTGGTATCTGTCATTGAACACTCTCAAAATTTAATGTCATCAGTACTCTTCATCACAGGCATGCAGGGGCGGTGCAACATATGAAAATCCATCAATGTAATCCACCATATAAACAAACTGAAAAAAAAATCATATGATCATCTCTTTAGATGCTGAAAAAGCATTTGACAAAATGCAACACCCATTCATGTTTTAAGTTTTGGAGAGATCAGGGATACAAGGCACATACCTAAACACAGTAAAAGCAATATACAGCAAGCCTATAGTCAACATCAAACTAAATGGAGAGAAACTTAAATAAATCTCACTGAAATCAGGGATAAGGCAAGGATGCCCACTCTCTCCTTATCTCTTCAACACAGTTCTTGAAGTCTTAGCTAGAACAATAAGACAACTAAAGGAGATCAAGGGGATACAAATCAGAAAGGAACAAGTCAAAGTACCACTATTAGCAGATGATATGATAGTGTACATGAGCGACCCCAAAAATACTACCAGAAAATTCCTTCAGCTGATAAACACCTTCAGCAAAGTGGCTGAATACAAAATCAACTCAAGAAAATCAGTAGCCTTCCTGTATACAAAAGACAAATAGGCTGCGAAAGAAATTAGGGAAACAACACCCTTCACAATAGCCACAAATAACATAAAGTACCTTGACATAACTCTAACCAAGCAAGTGAAAGACCTGTTTGAAAAAACTTCATATCTCTGAAGAAGTCATATCAGAAGATGGAAAGATCTCCCATGCTCATGGATCAGTAGGATTAACATAGTGAAATGGCTATCCTACCAAAAGCAATCTACAGATTCAATGCAATTCCCATGAAAATACCAACACAATTCTTTAGAGAACAATTCTCAATTTCATATAGAATAACAAAAATCCCAGAATAGCTAACACAATCCTGTACAATAAAAGATATTCTGGAGGTATCTTCATCCTAGATCTCAAACTGTACTATAGAGCAATAGTAATAAAAACATTTTGCCTAGTTGAAAGTGTCTCAACAATCAATAAATTGTACCTCATGAAACTGAAAAGCTTCTGTAAAGCAAAGGACACTGTCCTCAGAACAAAACGACAGCCTACAGACTGGGAAAGGATCTTCAGCAACCCTACATATGATAGAGGGCTATTATCCAGAATATATAAAGAACTGAAGATGTTAAACATCAACAAATCAAGTAATATAATAAAAAAATGGGACAGAGAGCTAAACAGAATTCTCAACAGAGGAGTATTGAATGGCAGAGAAACACTTTAAGAAATGTTCAATGTCCTTAGTCATCAAGAAGATGCAAATCAAAACAACCCTGAGATTTCACCTCACATCCATCAGAATAGTTAAGATAAAAAACTCAAGTGACAACACATGCTGGAGAGGCTGTGCAGAAAGGGGAACCCTCCTCCACTGCTGGTTTGTAACTTTGTACAAACACTTTGGAAATCAATCTGGCGCTTTCTCAGACAATTAGGAATAGCACTTCCTCAAGATCCAGCTAAACCACTCCTATCCATATATCCAAATATGCCCTACCAATTAATAAAAACATTTGCTCAATTATGTTTGTAGCAGCTTTATTCATAATATTCAGAATCTGGAAACAACCCAGATGTCCCTCAACGGAGGAATGGATACAGAAATTGTGGTACATTTACACAATGGAATACTACTCAGCAATGAAAAACAAGGAAATCATGAACTTTGCAGGCAAATGGTGGGAACTAGAAAAGATCATCCTGAATGAGGTAACCCAGAAGCAGAAAGACACATACGGTATAGACTCACTTATAAGTGGATATTAGTTAAATAATATAAGATAAACATATTAAAGTCTATAGTCCTAAAGAAGCTAAACAACAAGGAGGACGCTAGGGAAGATGCTTAATCCTCATTCAGAAGGGCAAACAGGTTAGACATCAGAAGTAGAAGACAAAGAATAGGACAGGAGCCTTCCACAGGGACCTCTGAAAGACTCTACCCACCAGGGTATTGAAGGAGATACTGAGACTCATAGCCAAACTTTGGGCAGAGGGCTGAAAACCTTGTGGAAAAAGAGGGAGATAGAAAGACCTGGAGGACAAGGAACTACACAACAGAGCCAAACAGGCCCTCTCTCAGGGGCCCTGCAGAGACTGATACTCCAACCAAGGACCATGCATGGAGAGGACCTAGACCCGCTCCTCAGAGGAAGCCCATAGGCTGCTCAGATTCCAAGTAGGTTCCGTAGTAAGGGGTGCATGAGCTGTCTGACATGAACTCAGTGGCTGGCTCTTTGATAACCTTTCTCTGGGGGAGGTGCAGCCTTGCCAGGCCTCAGAGGAAGATGATGTAGTCAGCCTTGATGAGACCTAATAGGCTAGGGTCAGATAGAAGGGAGGAGCTCCTCCCCTATCAGGGGAGTGGGCAAGAGCATAGAGGGAGAAGAGGAAGGCCTGGGAGGAGATCAGGGAGGGAGCTATAGCAGGGATACAGAGTGAGTATATTGTAATAAATAAATAAATACAATTTAAAAAATGAAAAGAAAATTTGGTTAAATCAAAAGTAGTGTCTTCTGCCTTGCAGAAGCTTTTCAGTTTCATGAGGTCCCATTTATTAATTGTTGATCTTAGTGCCAGTGCTGCTTGTGTTCTTTTCAGAAAGTTGTCTCATGTAACAATAAGTTCAAGGCTATCCCCCACTTTCTCTTTTATTTAATTAATTAATGTAATAAATGCAATAAATGGTGGAAACCTTTTCTCTAGATCTTTTTGTAAGCCCTATTTAAAGTTTAAGAACAAACTTGGGCCAGTATGGAAGTGCCCATAATCTAAGCACTGGAGAAGTTGAGGCCAGAGAATCACCATGACCTCAAAGACTCTTGGGGTACATAGTAAATTCCAGGTCAAATTTTGTCTCAACAACTTTTCACAGGTACTTTTCACTCTTGAAAATAAGTGTGATAATTTCAAATATTAAGTAAAACCCAGCAGTTCAACATATGAATCTACTAATGCCAGAATTCAAAGGCAATTTAATTCCAAGAAATTAACACATATTACATCGCAAATCAGAGATATTAAAAGAAATCATTAGAGGTCTGGGGATATTGCTCACCTTTTCATCTCCGTGCTGCTCTTGCAGAGGACTTGAGTTTGGTTCCCAGCATGCACACACCATACACACACACACACACACACACACACACACACACACACACACACACTAAGCTCATGATGCTTGTAAAAACAAGATGGATGGAGCTGGAGGTCACAATGTTAAGTGGAATAGGCCAGGCTCAAAAGGACAAGTATTGCACGTTTTCTTTCATGCGTAGAATCTAAGATATGGTGGGGACACGAAAGTAGAAGGGGAACTATTAGGAAAACAGAAAAGGACCCATGTGGGAAGTATAAAAAGAGAAACTGGGGCCGAATCTAATGAAAGTCCATTATATGCGTGTGTGAAAGTGTCACAATAAAACCTACCACTGTTTATAACTTACACTAATAAAAGTAATTATCAAATTTTCAGAATAGCTGCACATATTCTTTCACTAAATAACAAGTGTCACCAGTTTGCTAACCATTTCTATGATGAAGGTCATCTCTAAATTAAATGTTGACAATATTTCCAAGAGGAAAAAAATATATATTACTCTGTCCCTTAAGAGGTAAGCCTACTTTTTAATGGTGATTTAAAACAGAAACTACATTACAAAACACAGGCTATGGATGAGATCTCTTGAAAACAGGAAAAATATGTTGGCTGAGCTGGTTTTCCATCTATTTTGTAATATCAGTTGTTTTCTATGAAGAAAGAAGCCTCTTAGTTTGATGCAATCTTTCTATAACCAAGAAATGCAGGTCTGTTGGTTCTGGGGAGGAGGAGAGCATCAACAGTTATTCCTCAGAATGAACTTTAATAGAAGAGAGAGACTCATGGCATGTGGGGAGGGCTTGACTGGTCCTTAGAGCAGTAGGGAGGATATAACATCCCAACAGAGACAGTGTTACACGGCCTGGAAGGCCAAGAATTCCCTTCAAAACCCTGTATAGGAGGTTGAGTAGGGGACAGCTCAAAGGCGAGAAGAGGAGAGAGACCACCAACATCATGGGGATGATAGGAGAGGAAAAGAAGCTTCAGCGGACGCCCCCATACTAAGGGAAATTGCTGGCTTATGTGAGGTTTTTTGTTTTTTTTTTTTTTTTTTTTTAGAGAGCTGAGAGGAAGGTCCATACCATGTGATTTACAAGGCAAGGAATCAGGTACTGGGTAGGACCATA